TTTTTTGTTGTTATATACCTGGATGACTGAGAAAACAAACTTTGTGTTTATTTTGAAATGTTTGCTCATTTCTTAGTTCGCTCTTTTTGTCCAGGCCTGTTTTGCAGTAAATGTAGTTCCCATGTTGGACCATTTCTGTCTTGGTTTTAAAGGTATCTTGCATCAAGTAAAATATTTTAATGGATTTTCTTGTGTGTGTGTGTGTTCTTGTTTTTGGGGACTTATGAAGACTCTTTCTTTTCACCTCCAAAGTTGGGACCTGAAGTCCTTCCCTGGACAAGGACTTTATGAGGCTGCACATAATTTCTGAGGGGCTCCTTGAAGTTCTCATGCCACACTTACCCAGTACAAATATTTTGGGATCATAATTTCCTTTGACAGATCAATTATGCCCCCTAGTGTTCAACTAAAGGAAGTGCATTTGTTGAACGGTTTTAAAGCTTCTCAGCAGAAATGGAAAAGGATCAATTTAGCATATTTGTTTTAAGTTTTTATACATTATGTGCATGGAATAAGAAAAAGTACAATACGCTAATTTGAAGATTTCCACTATAAAAGAAAGAATAAATTTGGGACTAAGTTGTGTGAATAAATATTTAAACCAATTTATCTACACTGTATAAGATATTTGCAGCTCCTCAGATTGAAGAAGTATTTTGGATAAAAGACGAAACGTTTCCACAAAAATCTGTCCAGAGGACCTGACTTAATCTTGTTAGATGTATAAGATACAGCTTCCATCAATTTATTGCTGTTAAGCAAGTAAAATGTTTACTTATTTGCTACTACATCTATCTGACCTCATGCTTTTTACTTTAGGCAAATTTTAGAAAGTAAAAAATACCTGTGAAAAAACGCTTTCCTATACCTTTGTAATCCATCACCTGACAAAAATCCTCATGCGCAGTAGCATGCAGAGTGAGTTTGATACATTTTAAATAACCTATTGCTGCCTCTCAGTGAGAAGGTTGCCAGATCAAATCCCTGCTGGGGGCCTTTCTGGGTGGAGTTTGCATGTTCTCTCCGTGCATGCGTGAGTTTTCTCCGGGTGCTCCGGTTTCCTCCCACAGACTAAAAACATGCATGTTAGGCTGATCGGTAACTCTAAATTGTCTCTAGAGGTGAGTGAGAGAGTGAATGGTTGTCTCTATGTGTCCCGGTGATGGACTGGAGACCTGTCCAGGGTGTCCCCCACCTCTCAGAGTGATGGTTGGATATGAGCACCAGATACCTCCGCGACCCGAAAAGGACAAAGAAACGGGTAAAGATAATGGAATCAATATTATTTGCGTAAATTTGTAATATGATTGTAAATATATATATTTACCTATCCGTTTTTTTAATGACGTTCTGAACATGACAAATCAGATATTTTCTAATTTGTTACCAATTTGGTACTGAACCAGATGTTTTCAGTCTGAACGGTCATGCCTCGTTTCATCAGACGTCAACATCTGCGAGGATGTACACCGATTCATCCAAATATTAACATTGATACCAACGCGATGCAGGTTTAAATCTTGGAGCTCTGCATGTTTTGAGCTACAGAACACAAGTCCAGTTGCTTTGTCTTTTATTAAACTGTTTCGATTTGTCATGTCCTGGATGACTGAGAATCTACACCAACAACGCTGTTCCTATCGATACCAACATGATGGGATGACTATTTGAGTTCGTTTCTACTTTCTATACGTCGTTCCTTTACCTGAAGTCCAATTCTGCACCCGAGTAGGCAGGAAGATCAAACATTAACACGGAACAAAACAATTATGCCAAGTAATTTAACTGTTTCTGGTGGCACAACTCATGCTAACATGTGTAGCATCCATATTTCCTTCCAGCCTTTTTATGCTAGCTTATGAAAATATAGTGGATAAAAAACAAACTTGGCGTGCACAGGCCTGATCCTGCGCCTTGACGTCAGAGTAAGGGTCGGTTTTGAGTATTCCTGTCTACAGTGAAAACACGTCCTAATTAGTAAAGTTGTACATTGATTTAAGATGTGGACTTCTGACCTCTTTAGTTTCCCAACCATTAAGCAAAACCCTTCTGCTGGGATTTCAGACTGATGATGATTTTCAGAGAAATTAGCTGAGAGCATCAACGGTGGGGAAGATAAAAAGTTATTTCAACATAACCAATTTGAAACATGCAGAAAAGTGGAGCTGGTATGATTTAGTTGTAATCAGAAATACGATCAGATACCCAAAGGTGACCCTGATCTACTCAAGTGTAATACCTTGAAATGGGTTACTGGACGGGACCAATTCAGAGTAAGCAGTCCGGTTCTGGACAGAACAAAGAGCCTGTCTGGATTTGTTCTCTTCTGGACATTTTTCTGTTTAAATTGGCAGTATCTGTGAATAAACCCAAAACAAGTTGTCTCCATCCCATAAAAACTCAACAAGAATCAAACAAGATGTAGCAGCTAAAGGAGGCAAAACAGACTCTGCTCCTCCTGACTGGACAAATAAGAAGAAGCACAGCGTGTGAAAAGTGCGACAGTTTCTGCATTCATTAAGAAAGGACAGGAAGTGAAGTTTCTAGATGGCTTAAAGCTTTGGAGTTCTCAGCGCTCGCTCGACTCGGCAAACATTTTGTCATTTTTGTGAAGGAAATGATGATTACAATGTGTTGATGAAGAGTAGGTGTGCTAGCCTCCTGGCACCATTTCAGCAGGACTTTTTGCATAAAATGTAAATCTCCATCATGAATGTCCTGATTCTTTCCCTCCCCTCGCCCGTCCCTCGCCGACTTAAAATATTTCTTCACAAGCAAGAAGAACTTTTCCCAATTTTTCTTTTTTAGGCTTCTTTTTACTTTATTTTCTTCGTTGTCGTCGTTGGTGGTTGTTGAGTGGCTGTAGTTGCTGAGCAGAAGGAGAGTAAAATGGGAGTTCTCCTTCTTTTCAACCTCCTCCTGCGGGGGACGCTGCAGGCTACGACGCCTCCCGCTCTGTGGAGGAGTCGGCGGCCTGCCGCACCGGTCGGTCGAGGCTCCTGGCTCGGCCACTGTTCAGCGTCGGGCTTCGTGATGACTTCAGCAGCTTCTCCTCGAGCTCGTGCAGGGACGGCTCCTTGTACATGCAGACTGCAGGGGGAGGAGGGGGGAGATAAACATCTTTAATAATTCCAGTAGTCACTGCTTTTTCTTCTGGTGCAGAATGTCTCATTAACAATTAAAGTGTAACGTTTAACAGCGTGCCTTAGATAAATCTTTGTGGATTACTTGCCCTTTTAGAACAAGTACTATATTTTTTCTTACTAAAAAGAAGCCTTAAATAAATTATAATTAGAAAACCTGAAAGATTTACAGCAAACAAGTTCAGAGTTTCTTATAAAAAAGCAGATTCGTCTGCTGTAGTCACTGGGCTGGTTCAGGGGGAAACATCAGAAGGTTAAAAAAACACGAAACCCATTGATCCATTGCTCAGAACGTTTCCACATCCAGTCTGCTCTATAACTAAATCCAGTCTGATAAAAGGATTAAATCCTGTCGCATGTTTGTACCTTTGTTTGGTTACCTACTGTCCACTCCAGTTTCTACAGGGTTTTCTAAATATTTTCAACTGCAGGTATTTTTTTTTTAATCGTTTCCATTTGGATCCAAAACAATAATTAGCTTGAACCGCTCATCTTGGCTAAATTTTATCTTTACATCACAGTTTATCCTGTAATGGTTAATTAACTAATTTAACTTGAAAATAGTTGGTGACACATTTCTTCTGAGTACCACCAGTGTCCTAATACCAAATTTTGAGAACCTCGGGTTCAGATTAAAGCCCAACCGATATATCCATAGGGCCAATAATAATAATTGTCCTATTATGCACCAATATAAATAGTTCTGATTTTCACCACTTAAATGCTGGAACCAGCCGTAATTGTATAATGCAGTGTTTTTCGAAGTGGGGGCCGCGGCCCCCCGGTGGATGCTAGGGGGGCCTCAGAAAGCTGGAGCGAAGATCAAAAAAAGCACAAAAAAAAAAAAAATGCTTTTAAATAAAAAAATTAAATTTCTTAAATTACTGTAATAAAATCTAATCTATTTTTCAATAATTATTTTAAAATATATTTTATAATATATTGAAATATTTTTCACCATGCTCATCTTTCTGATTGGCTGCCAGTCAAATGCATCAAGCTGCTTTACTCTGCAAGCTAGCATAGCAAGGATGAAATGGAGAAGGTTCTAAAAAGACCAAAGAACCGACCAGCAGCCCTGCTGTGGTGGAAACTGCTGAAAAAACAAACAAAGAACTTGTTGCCAGCTAAAATCTGAAGGTATGAGGAAGCATACATTAAGTATGGCTTTACAGTTATACAGAAAAATGGCCATGACTGCCCGAAATGTGTGCTCTGTCTGGAGACCCTCGCAAACGAGTGTTTACAACCTTCCAAAGTTCAGTGCCACTTGAGCGGGAATATAATTCAGTGTTTAAAACATGCTAGCTAATAATATTTTTATGTTCAGCAGCTGTACAAATTGTTTATAGTGAATAAAAGTGAAAACATTCTAAAAGTTGATGTTTCTTTACATATTTTGTAACATTGTGGGTTTGCGGGGGGGGGGGGGGGGGGTGGCCGGCAGAAGAAAATGCTTTTTGGGGGGCCATGGCATGGAAAAGTTTGGGAACCCCTGGAATGTATCCAGCAGAGTGCGTTTGAAGACACTTTCAATTCACTTTAGGTTTCACTTTCATCACAGGCAAAGCAGGGAGCAATACCGTGCAACATATTTTACTGAACAGAGCATTTTATGTTTATTCTAACCGATCTGTAAAATAAATCAACAATAATAATTCAATCTGCTTGTCATTAGCTACGTGTCTCTCAAGTTAGCAAGCTAACGTTTAGATAACCTAGCATAGGTTGTTGTTGCCTTGTAAAACTCTATCTAGAACAACAAATCTAACGTAGCGGTAAATATATATATCAGTGTTAGTAACGTTATCTTTGTTGTCCTCAATGAAATGCATTGTTGGTCTGAAATCTTTACTTTTCTGCAAAGAAAAAATAAACTACTGCGGTCAATACTAATTAGACCTTCACCATACGTGACTGTTTAAACAACGACCAGGGAAGGACGTTGCTTTGTTTAATTTATATTTTTGTAACACACTTGATAACTTTATGGTGAATAGTGTAGGACAAAACATGTGAACGCATGTTAGGACGAATGTTTTTATGACCAGTGCATCACGTGTAAACTCCGTGTGGGACTGGGTATAGAATGGATTTGATTAGCTTAGCTTCATGGTTGCTAACAGCCGCGCTAAATAAACGAGCCCAGCTCCACTCGCTGTTTTCTTAGATTCATGGGCTAAAAAAAGCTAAAAAAATTTCAATCATTATATCGACTATTGGCATTAACATTCCCCTCTCAATATTGTATCGGCAACAGTCAAGATTTCACATCGGCTGGGCTCTAGTTAAGACCTTCACTGAGTTGGAAGTTACAGGTTGAAGGTTTGCAACAACGTGCCCATCAAATTTAATGATTTAATGTGAGCAAAATATATTCTAAGAAAAGGGAAAAGCTGAATAAAAACATAAAATAAACTAAAAGAAATGTGGAAAAGAATAGAAAAAATACAAACTTTAGTCATTTGTTATAAATTATTTGATAATTATTTTTTCTTAATGTTTTTCTTACAATTTTCAGATCCTTTAAAATATTATTTCCACCTCCCATGTTTCAAACACTGAAGACTATTTGCTCCATCTGTTGGTATGTTGTGTTGATCAAACAGAATGAAAAGTCATTTGGATTTCCAGCTGAAAGAGAAAAATACAAGACGGGGGAACAGTTTCAGCCCTTCAGCATTTTTTATTTTACTGCATGAATTACCACATTATTATATTATTTATTATTTTCATCATGTATTATTCACTAAGTGTTTAAGTGAGCAAATATATGTAATGCAAAGATAAACAAATTCAGTGAAGGTTTGTCTAAATGAGCTTTTGACAAATCTTTTAAATACTATTGTCAAACAGAAAATTTAGAATTTTAATCATTAGGTGTGACTATTTTTATATTTATTTTAATTTAAAAAGAGGGAAAGGGGAGTGATGGTGGTGACAGGAGTGTAATGTTGACAGAAGAGGACAGGAAGAGGAAGAAGGTGAGTGGCAGTGATCAGAGCAGCTGAAAACAGAGACGGAGCCTCGTGTTTCAAGTTTAAACCTCCATCTGTGATATTAGAGCTTCACCTCGTCCTCAGAGGAAGTTCCTGCAGGACGACCGACTCACCTCTGAGCTCTTTAAACCCTCAAACTTTATTACCCTGCAAAGTGTTGCGCAACAAGAGGGCGGGGACACCGTCCCATATAGTGTTGGACAACAAGAAGGTAAGGACAATGTCCTGCATAGTGTTGGACAACAAGAAGGTAAGGACAATGTCCTGCATAGTGTTGAACAAGAAGGTCAGGACACCGCCCTGAATCATGTTGGACTACAAGAGTGTCGGGTTTGACTGTCTCCACATGTAGTGAGGATTGGTGGGTTAAAATGGCTTCTTTTAGTCTTAACACAATGTATAATATTGAATATAATTCAGAGTTCTGTTTTAAATAGAACTCTGTTTAATCCAGATTATACTCCTCCTAACAGTTATTTAACTTTCTTTTTGTGAGAGGAGCCACTGTCCTGGTGGTCAACATGCTGTTTGAACGATGTAAAGACTCTAAACTGCATGTTTGAATCTGTTCACTGACGTCTCATTTCAACCATTTTTTTTTATTTTTGTTGAGCAAATTATGTTAATCTGCGTTTTCTTTTTATAACAACATATAAAAAAGCAACTAAACAACCACAAAACTCCAACCAAACAATTATCCAGACTCTGGAGGCAGAAGAAGTAGAGAGGACCCACAACACTTCCCTGAGGAACTCCACCAGGCCAATAGTCCAATGACCTTCCTCCTCCTCTTCCTCAGCTCCTGCCCTGACCTCTGGGTTCTGCAGATGAAGCTCAGGCATTCTCTGAACATGTTCTCCTCACCTTCTATGGGTCTGGGGACGAAGTGCGAGCAGGGTTTGGTTTTCTTCACTCGGTTCCCCTTCATGATGATCCCTTCCTTGTTAAGACCCAAGAACCAGGCCCGACCCGACTCGTGCTGCCGGTACAGCGTGGACGAGTAGATGACGTAGTAGTTCTCAAACACGGACTCCTTAAACTTACACTCTGATGTGAAGACATCCTGACAGAAAAACAGAAAACATTGAGACTAAACATCCGTTTACTCCTCGAATCACTCACAGCCCATCGTGACAGCATTAATAATAATAATAATAATAACAATAATATAACAAACTATGTGTAATATGACATTTTTACAGTAGTCCCACGCTACTTCGCGGTTCGTTTATCGTGGACTCGCTCTATCGCGTTTTTTTTAAAGTATTGTACAAGTACATAATATCCCCCACACAAAAAAGTGCTGCCTTTTGTAGTTTTCTTTCATTAAGCATTCACTGTTTTGCCCATCTAAAGAACTACATTACCCAGAAGCCAACACTGCTCTTTCAACCACTGCTTTCTGCAAATGGAGGGAAAGTTTTGCAGCTAAGTCAGAAGTTCTTTAAGGATGAGCTCTCAGGACTGCCAGGAGGAACGTCCTCTGAAGCTGAACTCATCCTTCAACTTGTATCTTCACTGCTGAGTAGCTGAGCTGCGATTGATCTGGACTCAGTGTGACCCGGATCCTGGGAGCTGCGGACGACAGACGGCCGCAGGGTTCAGTCAGGTTCTGGTTGCGCGGTGCTGGTCTGGACCGGGCCAAAGGTGGTGGATTAAATCCTGGGAAGCAGCACGTGTGCATCAAGCTGGATGGAGCGGTGGGCTTCAGTCATGCTGTACCGGGACTTTTTTCATCTATCGGGTCGGACCGGAACTGAGCTGCTCATGTACTGCAGAGCATGGTAAGTAAAATTTAGTAGCTCCTGTACACACAAGTACTGTATGTTGTTAACATTAGTAGGTTTAAGAGTTTAGAGGACTTCACTGCTGCAGGGTAGGTCTGCAGAAACAAACCGACTCGGAATAAAACAGAGTTGAAAAAACACAACCCTGTTCAATAAACTTCTTATTGTCACTGTTTTTCCTCTTCTCCAGTTTCTCCATTCAGTCATAGGTATGTCTTCGTCCACCAGCGTGTCTCTCTGCTGTAGGACAGACAGCTTCAGACATGTCCGACATCCTAACCCTCATCGAGTCCCGCTCTGTCGGAGCTTCTGTAAACTGTAGCAGCACATTAGATCTGAGTGACGGAGCAAACACCAGAAGAACGTAACGCTCTCAGAGGATCGGGTGCCGTTTAAGATGGAGGTCATGTTATTTTAAAATCTTTAAATTCCTCTCCGTCCCTTCATGTCTGTTGTCTTCTTCCTTCAGAACCGTCGACCTGGTTCTGCTGAGCTTCGTGTTGAAGCCTAACTGGACTCTGCTGGAACAGTTTAACCTCCCAGTTTGGCGCCTTTCACCCCCTCAGGGTCCAACAGGTGTGTGCTCGAGCCCTCCGGACAGAACAGGTGCTCAGAGTGAAACAATCAGAGCAGAACCCACTCCCCCTTTCCCACCCAGAACCTAAGGAGGAGGTTTCTCTGACCCAGTTTACTTGTTGTACATTAATAAACCTGCAGAAATAGTTTTGTTCTTGAGTTGTTGACGAGCGTTCTCCTGAACTTTGAAGTTCTGATCAGAACCTGCTCAGAAACAGAAGATTTACTGACTCAGAATCTGCTGAGTCACTGGTTGCCTTGGTAACTCCCGCCTTTTCTGGGGAGCAAAAAAAGGGAGAGGCAGCACCCAGTAGTGCTCCAGGCAGAAACAGAGTAAAAAGGGAGCCTCAGACAAACAGGTTCAGTGTGAAAACTATAAGGCAGGCTGAAGAACTTCTTGACCTGTGAGCAGCAGAAGGTTCTGATGGTTCCAAAGGTTCTATTTGATGGTTCTACAGGGTGTTATGGAAGAGATATGGCAAGTTTAAAAATGCCTTTGCTTCTTTTTTTGAATCTTAGATACAATGGAAGTGAATGTGAGTAGTGAGTATGAGCGTTTGCAGCTGGACAGTAGCTAAAGTCTGCAGCTGAAGTCAGCAGCTGAAGTTAGCAGCTAAACTCTGCAGCTGAAGTCAGTAGCTAAAGTTTGCAGCTAAAGACAGTAGCTGAAGCCAAGAGCTAAAGTCTGTAGCTGGTGTCAGTAGCTGAAGTCAGCAGCTAAAGTCTGTAGCTGAAGTCAGTAGCTAAAGTTTGCAGCTAAAGACAGTAGCTGAAGCATGTAGTTGAAGTCAACAGCTAAACTCTGCAGCTGGTGTCAGTAGCTGAAGTTTGCAGCTAAAGACAGTAGCTCAAGCATGTAGCAGATGTCAACAGCTGAAGTTTACAGCTGGTGTCAGTAGCTAAAGTTTGCAGCTAAAGACAGTAGCTGGTGTCAGTAGCTGGCGTCAGTAGCTGAAGTCTGTAGCTGGTGTCAGTAGCAGAAGTCAGCAGCTAAAGTCTGTAGTTGGTGTCAGTAGCTGGCATTAGTAGCTGAAGTCTGTAGCTGGTGTCAGTAGCTGAATTCAACAGCTAAAGTCTGTATCTGGTGTCAGTAGCAGAAGTCAGCAGCTAAAGTATGTAGCTGGTGTCAGTAGGTGAAGTCAGCAGCTAAAGTTTGCAGCTAAATACAGTAGCTGAAGCATGTAGCTGAAGTCATCAGCCAAAGTCTGTAGCTGGTGTCAGTAGCTGAAGTCATCAGCTAAAGTCTGTAGCTGGTGTAAGTAGCTGAAGTTTGCAGCTAAAGTCTGTAGCTGGTGTC